AACACTATTTCAAACAGCACGACATATATGCACAGAAGACATGATTGACAACGAACTACGACAGCTGAAAGAATCTTTGACTAGAAACGCTTATCCCGATGCGTTTATCGAAAAGCACAGCAAGCCTAAATTGATCAGACAAACGAATTGTTCAGCAGAAAAACTACTAATCACCATTTGTCTTCCATTCATACGTGATGACATCAATTGCTTGCTCAAACGACCACTTGGATCAGCGCTTGCCAAAAACAAATATTATGCACCTGACCTCAGAATTATTCATCGAACGATTGAGATCCCCACACCCTCGGTGAAACAACGTCCACCTCTGTACACCAAATCGAATCTGATTTACCAATTTCAGTGTAGTTGCGGAGCAACCTACGTGGGTCGAACAGAGCGCCAGTTACGTAACCGAGTGATTGAATATATTCCAAATTGGGTACAACGTTTTGTGATGCAATCAGGGTCAGATCAAAGGCATAATGACAACGTTCGAAAACATAAGATCCCGTCGTCGGCTGTCGGCCGTCGCTCGTCATCTTCTGATGACGCAACATCCAGCTGACCGAACCACTGCGTTTCGGGTCATTTACGTGGCAAAGAATACCAGGCTTTTGAGGTTTGTTCAAACCATTGCCATACATTCATGGAAACCTAATATTGTGTCAGCACAAACAGCTCTTTGTTCATGTGTCTTTATCATGGTGACGTAACTTGACTATTGAAATTTCCCCTATATTTGTCGAAAATTATGGTTTTACATGAACTTATATAAACAGTATGGTTGTGCAGTGTGCACCATGTTCAGATGCAGCGAAATCGTCCCGGACACGAATCGTGCAATGTTGCACTGTGGCTTTTCTTTTCAAGATTATTTCGGGAAAAGCATGTTTAAATTTCCTCAGATCTCGTCTCCCGAAATCAACCATTAGGTCTCTCGATGACCTAGTCAGATTGAGATGTGAAATTGCCACAACTCGAGTCCGTATTCATTTTCTGGAACAACGTGCCCGTTGCAACAGATATCCGATTACGTTTTGCAAACGCTTACGGAGAAATAAAATCTGTGCCTCTACCAGGAATTTGAGACGTTTGATGCGATGTCAGATTGATGATTATAAAGAAAATCTAACGACACTTCAGACCACGTGCATCGAATGATCAATAATTCTTGACGAACCGAGCCTCGTTAGCCGAATCAAATTTACCAACTTGTGCATGGAAAACATACGAGAAGCCAAACTTTGTACATTCAACAAGCTTCAGAATTCCATCGTCCACAAGTTAGTCGAACCACATTTTCCGAAACAACCAGAAAGGTTTGTGAAGAATTTGTCTCCGGTTGAACGAATGAACTTCAACTACAAGCTCTTTCGTGTGGTCTACGTTTCTGCATACCACCGAGCAAAATGACCAGCATAAAGACACAGGCGCAATTTGAATATCTATTCGAACAACTACAATTAGTCAAACGAACTTCAAAAGATGCGGAGACTTGGTTCAAAGCAAAGCTGGTTGACTTGGAACGACAGTACCGGATGACATCGTCCAAACATAAGTCACTCTTCACGCCTGAGCACATTCACATCCGCCATTGAAGAGCTACAGTTGTGACCTGATTTGTTAGTTTTACGCCCTAACAAGGGGTCCGGAGCAGTGCTGATCGATCGGAATGATTATGAGAAGAAGATGGAAAGTGTTCTTCATGACCCCAGCAAGTTTGTACTCGAAGATGACTGTGAAGACCCTAAAGAACTAGAACAACAGATATCGACCGCAGTACAGTTTCTACTAGAAGGACACTTCATCGATGAAAGCACAGCTCACCATCTGAAGCCAAAAGGAACTCGAAGTGCACAACTGTATGGTTTACCGAAACTAAACAAACCCGGAGTGCCACTTGGACCAATACTACTTTTGTGAGAGTATATACTACTTATTAAGTAGTTGATTGCTGAAAGCGGAACTATCGTCATTCGTGGATTACCAAAGCCGCTATGCCCAAGTCACTGAACGCAAGAAGGTGAACAACAACAGGCGAACCATACAACTGCTTCTCCGTCGGATGATGATGTCTTCAAGTGAAGGGGAACGGTGACTTTTCAAACAAGCATGTTTGTAACGTTTGATTTGTTTTGTCGATGTCCGAACGAGCTACTGGCAATAAACAACCTATTGACCAAAGCACGCCTTCTGGATTATAACACTACTACTATCTATGACAAATTCACCACAACACGAATTGGCCAAATGGCTGGAGAAATTGCTTGAGCCAGTTCATAAATCAATGGTCAGACACACTATAAAAAAGACAGTTTCGAAGTGGTAAAGCTTTTGGACCAGATCAATGTGAAAGGGAAGCACATGGCTTCATTTGATTTCCAATCACTGTTTACGAATGTTCCCGGTCGGGAGGTCATACGTATCATGTGTGATCATGTGGAGCAAAACCAACTGAAAATCGGTATACCAGTATCAGTTCTGGTACGACAATTACTACTGTGCACAACAAACGTATCGTTCTCCTTCCTTGGTTGGGCTTACAGACAAATTGACGGTGTCGCAATCGGAACTCCATTGAGCCCCATTCTGGCACATATGTTTTTGGCTCATCTTGAGGAAAAGGCGAGCAAAATCCTCGAACGTTCACAACTTTACAAACGATACGTTGATCATGTTCTAGTCATCACAATAAGTCTAGAAGAGACAACATGGATTATGGATAAACTCGATCGCCTGCATCCGAATATACGATTTACGATGGAAACAGAAATCGAAGATACACTGCACTTCCTCGACATTAAAATCACTAGGAATAATGATGGAACAATGGCCAGATCTGTTTACCGAAAAGAAACCTGGACAGGCCAATGCTTGCAATTTGACAGCTTTGTGTCTGTGGAATATGAACGTGGTCTGGTCCGAACACTATTTCAAACATGACGACATATCTGCACAGAAGACATGATTGACAACGAACTACGACAGCTGAAAGAATCTTTGACTAGAAACGCTTATCCCGATGCGTTTATCGAAAAGCACAGCAAGCCTAAATTGATCAGACAAACGGATTGTTCAGCAGAAAAACTACTAGTCACCATTTGTCTTCCATTCATACGTGATGACATCAATTGCTTGCTCAAACGACCACTTGGATCAGCGCTTGCCCAAAACAAATAATATGCACCTGACCTCAGAATTATTCATCGAACGATTGAGATCCCCACACCCTCGGTGAAACAACGTCCACCAATGTACACCAAATCGAATCTGATTTACCAATTTCAGTGTAGTTGCGGAGCAACCTACGTGGGTCGAACAGAGCGCCAGTTACGTAACCGAGTGATTGAATATATTCCAAATTGGGTACAACGTTTTGTGATGCAATCAGGGTCAGATCAAAGGCATAATGACAACGTTCGAAACCATAAGATCCCGTCATCGGCTGTCGGCCGTCGCTCGTCATCTTCTGATGACGCAACATCCAGCTGACCGAAGCACTGCGTTTCGGGTCATTTACGTGGCAAAGAATACCAGGCTTTTGAGGTTTGTTCAAACCATTGCCATACATTCATGGAAACCTAATATTGTGTCAGCACAAACAGCTCTTTGTTCATGTGTCTTTATCATGGTGACGTAACTTGACTATTGAAATTTCCCCTATATTTGTCGAAAATTATGGTTTTACATGAACTTATATAAGCAGTATGGTTGTGCAGTGTGCACCATGTTCAGATGCAGCGAAATCGTCCCGGACACGAATCGTGCAATGTTGCAACTGTGGCTTTTCTTTTCAAGACTATTTCGGGAAAAGCATGTTTAAATTTCCTCAGATCTCGTCTCCCGAAATCAACCATTAGGTCTCTCGATGACCTAGTCAGATTGAGATGTGAAATTGCCACAACTCGAGTCCGTATTCATTTTCTGCAACAATGTGTCCGTTGCAACAGATATCCGATTACGTTTTGCAAACGCTTACGGAGGAATAAAATCTGTGCCTCTACCAGGAATTTGAGACGTTTGATGCGATATCAAATTGATGATTATAAAGAAAATCTAACGACACTTCAGACCACGTGCATCGAATGATCAATAATTCTTGACGAACTGAGCCTCGTTAGCCGAATCAAATTTACCAACTTGTGCATGGAAAACATACGAGAAGCCAAACTTTGTACATTCAACAAGCTTCAGAATTCCATCGTCCACAAGTTAGTCGAACCACATTTTCCGAAACAACCAGAAAGGTTTGTGAAGAATTTGTCTCCGGTTGAACGAATGAACTTCAACTACAGGCTCTTTCGTGTGGTCTACGTTTCTGCATACCACCGAGTAAAATGACCAGCATAAAGACACAGGCGCAATTTGAATATATATTCGAACAACTACAATTAGTCAAATGAACTTCAAAAGATGCGGAGACTTGGTTCAAAGCAAAGCTGGTTGACTTGGAACGACAGTACCGGATGACATCGTCCAAACATAAGTCACTCTTCACGCCTGAGCACATTCACATCCGCCATTGAAGAGCTACAGTTGTGACCTGATTTGTTAGTTTTACGCCCTAACAAGGGGTCCGGAGCAGTGCTGATCGATCGGAATGATTATGAGAAGAAGATGGAAAGTGTTCTTCATGATCCCAGCAAGTTTGTACTCGAAGATGACTGTGAAGACCCTAAAGAACTAGAACAACAGATATCGACAGCAGTACAGTTTCTACTAGAAGGACACTTCATCGATGAAAGCACAGCTCACCATCTGAAGCCAAAAGGAACTCGAAGTGCACAACTGTATGGTTTATCGAAACTAAACAAACCCGGAGTGCCACTTGGACCAATACTACTACTATCTATGACAAATTCACCACAACACGAATTGGCCAAATGGCTGGAGAAATTGCTTGAGCCAGTTCATAAATCAATGGTCAGACACACTATAAAAAAGACAGTTTCGAAGTGGTAAAGCTTTTGGACCAGATCAATGTGAAAGGGAAGCACATGGCTTCATTTGATTTCCAATCACTGTTTACGAATGTTCCCGGTCGGGAGGTCATACGTATCATGTGTGATCATGTGGAGCAAAACGAACTGAAAATCGGTATACCAGTATCAGTTCTGGTACGACAATTACTACTGTGCACAACAAACGTATCGTTCTCCTTCCTTGGTTGGGCTTACAGACAAATTGACGGTGTCGCAATCCGAACTCCATTGAGCCCCATTCTGGCACATATGTTTTTGGCTCATCTTGAGGAAAAGGCGAGCAAAATCCTCGAACGTTCACAACTTTACAAACGATACGTTGATCATGTTCTAGTCATCACAATAAGTCTAGAAGAGACAACATGGATTATGGATAAACTCGATCGCCTGCATCCGAATATACGATTTACGATGGAAACAGAAATCGAAGATACACTGCACTTCCTCGACATTAAAATCACTAGGAATAATGATGGAACAATGGCCAGATCTGTTTACCGAAAAGAAACTTGGACAGGCCAATGCTTGCAATTTGACAGCTTTGTGTCTGTGGAATATGAACGTGGTCTGGTCCGAACACTATTTCAAACAGCACGACATATCTGCACAGAAGACATGATTGACAACGAACTACGACAGCTGAAAGAATCTTTGACTAGAAACGCTTATCCCGATGCGTTTATCGAAAAGCACAGCAAGCCTAAATTGATCAGACAAACGGATTGTTCAGCAGAAAAACTACTAGTCACCATTTGTCTTCCATTCATACGTGATGACATCAATTGCTTGCTCAAACGACCACTTGGATCAGCGCTTGCCCAAAACAAATATTATGCACCTGACCTCAGAATTATTCATCGAACGATTGAGATCCCCACACCCTCGGTGAAACAACGTCCACCAATGTACACCAAATCGAATCTGATTTACCAATTTCAGTGTAGTTGCGGAGCAACGTACGTGGGTCGAACAGAGCGCCAGTTACGTAACCGAGTGATTGAATATATTCCAAATTGGGTACAACGTTTTGTGATGCAATCAGGGTCAGATCAAAGGCATAATGACAACGTTCGAAACCATAAGATCCCGTCATCGGCTGTCGGCCGTCGGCCGTCGGCCGTCGCTCGTCATCTTCTGATGACGCAACATCCAGCTGACCGAACCACTGCGTTTCGGGTCATTTACGTGGCAAAGAATACCAGGCTTTTGAGGTTTGTTCAAACCATTGCCATACATTCATGGAAACCTAATATTGTGTCAGCACAAACAGCTCTTTGTTCATGTGTCTTTATCATGGTGACGTAACTTGACTATTGAAATTTCCCCTATATTTGTCGAAAATTATGGTTTTACATGAACTTATATAAGCAGTATGGTTGTGCAGTGTGCACCATGTTCAGATGCAGCGAAATCGTCCCGGACACGAATCGTGCAATGTTGCAACTGTGGCTTTTCTTTTCAAGACTATTTCGGGAAAAGCATGTTTAAATTTCCTCAGATCTCGTCTCCCGAAATCAACCATTAGGTCTCTCGATGACCTAGTCAGATTGAGATGTAAAATTGCCACAACTCGAGTCCGTATTCATTTTCTGGAACAACGTGCCCGTTGCAACAGATATCCGATTACGTTTTGCAAACGCTTACGGAGGAATAAAATCTGTGCCTCTACCAGGAATTTGAGACGTTTGATGCGATGTCAGATTGATGATTATAAAGAAAATCTAACGACACTTCAGACCACGTGCATCGAATGATCAATAATTCTTGACGAACTGAGCCTCGTTAGCCGAATCAAATTTACCAACTTGTGCATGGAAAACATACGAGAAGCCAAACTTTGTACATTCAACAAGCTTCAAAATTCCATCGTCCACAAGTTAGTCGAACCAAATTTTCCGAAACAACCAGAAAGGTTTGTGAAGAATTTGTCGCCGGTTAAACGAATGAACTTCAACTACAAGCTCTTTCGTGTGGTCTACGTTTCTGCATACCACCGAGTAAAATGACCAGCATAAAGACACAGGCGCAATTTGAATATCTATTCGAACAACTACAATTAGTCAAACGAACTTCAAAAGATGCGGAGACTTGGTTCAAAGCAAAGCTGGTTGACTTGGAACGACAGTACCGGATGACATCGTCCAAACATAAGTCACTCTTCACGCCTGAGCACATTCACATCCGCCATTGAAGAGCTACAGTTGTGACCTGATTTGTTAGTTTTACGCCCTAACAAGGGGTCCGGAGCAGTGCTGATCGATCGGAATGATTATGAGAAGAAGATGGAAAGTGTTCTTCATGATCCCAGCAAGTTTGTACTCGAAGATGACTGTGAAGACCCTAAAGAACTAGAACAACAGATATCGACAGCAGTACAGTTTCTACTAGAAGGACACTTCATCGATGAAAGCACAGCTCACCATCTGAAGCCAAAAGGAACTCGAAGTGCACAACTGTATGGTTCACCGAAACTAAACAAACCCGGAGTGCCACTTGGACCAATACTACTACTATCTATGACAAATTCACCACAACACGAATTGGCCAAATGGCTGGAGAAATTGCTTGAGCCAGTTCATAAATCAATGGTCAGACACACTATAAAAAAGACAGTTTCGAAGTGGTAAAGCTTTTGGACCAGATCAATGTGAAAGGGAAGCACATGGCTTCATTTGATTTCCAATCACTGTTTACGAATGTTCCCGGTCGGGAGGTCATACGTATCATGTGTGATCATGTGGAGCAAAACGAACTGAAAATCGGTATACCAGTATCAGTTCTGGTACGACAATTACTACTGTGCACAACAAACGTATCGTTCTCCTTCCTTGGTTGGGCTTACAGACAAATTGACGGTGTCGCAATCGGAACTCCATTGAGCCCCATTCTGGCACATATGTTTTTGGCTCATCTTGAGGAAAAGGCGAGCAAAATCCTCGAACGTTCACAACTTTACAAACGATACGTTGATCATGTTCTAGTCATCACAATAAGTCTAGAAGAGACAACATGGATTATGGATAAACTCGATCGCCTGCATCCGAATATACGATTTACGATGGAAACAGAAATCGAAGATACACTGCACTTCCTCGACATTAAAATGACTAGGAATAATGATGGAACAATGGCCAGATCTGTTTACCGAAAAGAAACTTGGACAGGCCGATGCTTGCAAATTGACAGCTTTGTGTCTGTGGAATATGAACGTGGTCTGGTCCGAACACTATTTCAAACAGCACGACATATCTGCACAGAAGACATGATTGACAACGAACTACGACAGCTGAAAGAATCTTTGACTAGAAACGCTTATCCCGATGCGTTTATCGAAAAGCACAGCAAGCCTAAATTGATCAGACAAACGAATTGTTCAGCAGAAAAACTACTAGTCACCCTTTGTCTTCCATTCATACGTGATGACATCAATTGCTTGCTCAAACGACCACTTGGATCAGCGCTTGCCCAAAACAAATATTATGCACCTGACCTCAGAATTATTCATCGAACGATTGAGATCCCCACACCCTCGGTGAAACAACGTCCACCTCTGTACACCAAATCGAATCTGATTTACCAATTTCAGTGTAGTTGCGGAGCAACCTACTTGGGTCGAACAGAGCGCCAGTTACGTAACCGAGTGATTGAATATATTCCAAATTGGGTACAACGTTTTGTGATGCAATCAGGGTCAGCTCAAAGGCATAATGACAACGTTCGAAACCATAAGATCCCGTCGTCGGCTGTCGGCCGTCGGCCGTCGGCCGTCGCTCGTCATCTTCTGATGACGCAACATCCAGCTGACCGAACCACTGCGTTTCGGGTCATTTACGTGGCAAAGAATACCAGGCTTTTGAGGTTTGTTCAAACCATTGCCATACATTCATGGAAACCTAATATTGTGTCAGCACAAACAGCTCTTTGTTCATGTGTCTTTATCATGGTGACGTAACTTGACTATTGAAATTTCCCCTATATTTGTCGAAAATTATGGTTTTACATGAACTTACATAAACAGTATGGTTGTGCAGTGTGCACCATGTTCAGATGCAGCGAAATCGTCTCGGACACGAATCGTGCAATGTTGTAACTGTGGCTTTTCTTTTCAAGATTATTTCGGGAAAAGCATGTTTAAATTTCCTCAGATCTCGTCTCCCGAAATCAACCATTAGGTCTCTCGATGACCTAGTCAGATTGAGATGTGAAATTGCCACAACTCGAGTCCGTATTCATTTTCTGGAACAACGTGCCCGTTGCAACAGATATCCGATTACGTTTTGCAAACGCTTACAGTGGAATAAAATCTGTGCCTCTACCAGGAATTTGAGACGTTTGATGCGATGTCAGATTGATGATTATAAAGAAAATCTAACGACACTTCAGACCACGTGCATCGAATGATCAATAATTCTTGACGAACTGAGCCTCGTTAGCCGAATCAAATTTACCAACTTGTGCATGGAAAACATACGAGAAGCCAAACTTTGTACATTCAACAAGCTTCAGAATTCCATCGTCCACAAGTTAGTCGAACCAAATTTTCCGAAACAACCAGAAAGGTTTGTGAAGAATTTGTCTCCGGTTAAACGAATGAACTTCAACTACAGGCTCTTTCGTGTGGTGTACGTTTCTGCATACCACCGAGTAAAATGACCAGCATAAAGACACAGGCGCAATTTGAATATCTATTCGAACAACTACAATTAGTCAAACGAACTTCAAAAGATGCGGAGACTTGGTTCAAAGCAAAGCTGGTTGACTTGGAACGACAGTACCGGATGACATCGTCCAAACATAAGTCACTCTTCACGCCTGAGCACATTCACATCCGCCATTGAAGAGCTACAGTTGTGACCTGATTTGTTAGTTTTACGCCCTAACAAGGGGTCCGGAGCAGTGCTGATCGATCGGAATGATTATGAGAAGAAGATGGAAAGTGTTCTTCATGATCCCAGCAAGTTTGTACTCGAAGATGACTGTGAAGACCCTAAAGAACTAGAACAACAGATATCGACAGCAGTACAATTTCTACTAGAAGGACACTTCATCGATGAAAGCACAGCTCACCATCTGAAGCCAAAAGGAACTCGAAGTGCACAACTGTATGGTTTACCGAAACTAAACAAACCCGGAGTGCCACTTGGACCAATACTACTACTATCTATGACAAATTCACCACAACACGAATTGGCCAAATGGCTGGAGAAATTGCTTGAGCCAGTTCATAAATCAATGGTCAGACACACTATAAAAAAGACAGTTTCGAAGTGGTAAAGCTTTTGGACCAGATCAATGTGAAAGGGAAGCACATGGCTTCATTTGATTTCCAATCACTGTTTACGAATGTTCCCGGTCGGGAGGTCATACGTATCATGTGTGATCATGTGGAGCAAAACGAACTGAAAATCGGTATACCAGTATCAGTTCTGGTACGACAATTACTACTGTGCACAACAAACGTATCGTTCTCCTTCCTTGGTTGGGCTTACAGACAAATTGACGGTGTCGCAATCCGAACTCCATTGAGCCCCATTCTGGCACATATGTTTTTGGCTCATCTTGAGGAAAAGGCGAGCAAAATCCTCGAACGTTCACAACTTTACAAACGATACGTTGATCATGTTCTAGTCATCACAATAAGTCTAGAAGAGACAACATGGATTATGGATAAACTCGATCGCCTGCATCCGAATATACGATTTACGATGGAAACAGAAATCGAAGATACACTGCACTTCCTCGACATTAAAATCACTAGGAATAATGATGGAACAATGGCCAGATCTGTTTACCGAAAAGAAACTTGGACAGGCCAATGCTTGCAATTTGACAGCTTTGTGTCTGTGGAATATGAACGTGGTCTGGTCCGAACACTATTTCAAACAGCACGACATATCTGCACAGAAGACATGATTGACAACGAACTACGACAGCTGAAAGAATCTTTGACTAGAAACGCTTATCCCGATGCGTTTATCGAAAAGCACAGCAAGCCTAAATTGATCAGACAAACGAATTGTTCAGCAGAAAAACTACTAGTCACCCTTTGTCTTCCATTCATACGTGATGACATCAATTGCTTGCTCAAACGACCACTTGGATCAGCGCTTGCCCAAAACAAATATTATGCACCTGACCTCAGAATTATTCATCGAACGATTGAGATCCCCACACCCTCGGTGAAACAACGTCCACCTCTGTACACCAAATCGAATCTGATTTACCAATTTCAGTGTAGTTGCGGAGCAACCTACTTGGGTCGAACAGAGCGCCAGTTACGTAACCGAGTGATTGAATATATTCCAAATTGGGTACAACGTTTTGTGATGCAATCAGGGTCAGATCAAAGGCATAATGACAACGTTCGAAACCATAAGATCCCGTCGTCGGCTGTCGGCCGTCGGCCGTCGGCCGTCGCTCGTCATCTTCTGATGACGCAACATCCAGCTGACCGAACCACTGCGTTTCGGGTCATTTACGTGGCAAAGAATACCAGGCTTTTGAGGTTTGTTCAAACCATTGCCATACATTCATGGAAACCTAATATTGTGTCAGCACAAACAGCTCTTTGTTCATGTGTCTTTATCATGGTGACGTAACTTGACTATTGAAATTTCCCCTATATTTGTCGAAAATTATGGTTTTACATGAACTTACATAAACAGTATGGTTGTGCAGTGTGCACCATGTTCAGATGCAGCGAAATCGTCTCGGACACGAATCGTGCAATGTTGTAACTGTGGCTTTTCTTTTCAAGATTATTTCGGGAAAAGCATGTTTAAATTTCCTCAGATCTCGTCTCCCGAAATCAACCATTAGGTCTCTCGATGACCTAGTCAGATTGAGATGTGAAATTGCCACAACTCGAGTCCGTATTCATTTTCTGGAACAACGTGCCCGTTGCAACAGATATCCGATTACGTTTTGCAAACGCTTACAGTGGAATAAAATCTGTGCCTCTACCAGGAATTTGAGACGTTTGATGCGATGTCAGATTGATGATTATAAAGAAAATCTAACGACACTTCAGACCACGTGCATCGAATGATCAATAATTCTTGACGAACTGAGCCTCGTTAGCCGAATCAAATTTACCAACTTGTGCATGGAAAACATACGAGAAGCCAAACTTTGTACATTCAACAAGCTTCAGAATTCCATCGTCCACAAGTTAGTCGAACCAAATTTTCCGAAACAACCAGAAAGGTTTGTGAAGAATTTGTCTCCGGTTAAACGAATGAACTTCAACTACAGGCTCTTTCGTGTGGTCTACGTTTCTGCATACCACCGAGTAAAATGACCAGCATAAAGACACAGGCGCAATTTGAATATATATTCGAACAACTACAATTAGTCAAACGAACTTCAAAAGATGCGGAGACTTGGTTCAAAGCAAAGCTGGTTGACTTGGAACGACAGTACCGGATGACATCGTCCAAACATAAGTCACTCTTCACGCCTGAGCACATTCACATCCGCCATTGAAGAGCTACAGTTGTGACCTGATTTGTTAGTTTTACGCCCTAACAAGGGGTCCGGAGCAGTGCTGATCGATCGGAATGATTATGAGAAGAAGATGGAAAGTGTTCTTCATGATCCCAGCAAGTTTGTACTCGAAGATGACTGTGAAGACCCTAAAGAACTAGAACAACAGATATCGACAGCAGTACAGTTTCTACTAGAAGGACACTTCATCGATGAAAGCACAGCTCACCATCTGAAGCCAAAAGGAACTCGAAGTGCACAACTGTATGGTTTACCGAAACTAAACAAACCCGGAGTGCCACTTGGACCAATACTACTACTATCTATGACAAATTCACCACAACACGAATTGGCCAAATGGCTGGAGAAATTGCTTGACCCAGTTCATAAATCAATGGTCAGACACACTATAAAAAAGACAGTTTCGAAGTGGTAAAGCTTTTGGACCAGATCAATGTGAAAGGGAAGCACATGGCTTCATTTGATTTCCAATCACTGTTTACGAATGTTCCCGGTCGGGAGGTCATACGTATCATGTGTGATCATGTGGAGCAAAACCAACTGAAAATCGGTATACCAGTATCAGTTCTGGTACGACAATTACTACTGTGCACAACAAACGTATCGTTCTCCTTCCTTGGTTGGGCTTACAGACAAATTGACGGTGTCGCAATCCGAACTCCATTGAGCCCCATTCTGGCACATATGTTTTTGGCTCATCTTGAGGAAAAGGCGAGCAAAATCCTCGAACGTTCACAACTTTACAAACGATACGTTGATCATGTTCTAGTCATCACAATAAGTCTAGAAGAGACAACATGGATTATGGATAAACTCGATCGCCTGCATCCGAATATACGATTTACGATGGAAACAGAAATCGAAGATACACTGCACTTCCTCGACATTAAAATCACTAGGAATAATGATGGAACAATGGCCAGATCTGTTTACCGAAAAGAAACTTGGACAGGCCAATGCTTGCAATTTGACAGCTTTGTGTCTGTGGAATATGAACGTGGTCTGGTCCGAACACTATTTCAAACAGCACGACATATATGCACAGATGACATGATTGACAACGAACTACGACAGCTGAAAGAATCTTTGACTAGAAACGCTTATCCCGATGCGTTTATCGAAAAGCACAGCAAGCCTAAATTGATCAGACAAACGAATTGTTCAGCAGAAAAACTACAAGTCACCATTTGTCTTCCATTCATACGTGATGACATCAATTGCTTGCTCAAACGACCACTTGGATCAGCGCTTGCCAAAAACAAATATTATGCACCTGACCTCAGAATTATTCATCGAACGATTGAGATCCCCACACCCTCGGTGAAACAACGTCCACCAATGTACACCAAATCGAATCTGATTTACCAATTTCAGTGTAGTTGCGGAGCAACCTACTTGGGTCGAACAGAGCGCCAGTTACGTAACCGAGTGATTGAATATATTCCAAATTGGGTACAACGTTTTGTGATGCAATCAGGGTCAGATCAAAGGCATAATGACAACGTTCGAAACCATAAGATCCCGTCGTCGGCTGTCGGCCGTCGCTCGTCATCTTCTGATGACGCAACATCCAGCTGACCGAACCACTGCGTTTCGGGTCATTTACGTGGCAAAGAATACCAGGCTTTTGAGGTTTGTTCAAACCATTGCCATACATTCATGGAAACCTAATATTGTGTCAGCACAAACAGCTCTTTGTTCATGTGTCTTTATCATGGTGACGTAACTTGACTATTGAAATTTCCCCTATATTTGTCGAAAATTATGGTTTTACATGAACTTATATAAACAGTATGGTTGTACAGTGTGCACCATGTTCAGATGCAGCGAAATCGTCCCGGACACGAATCGTGCAATGTTGTAACTGTGGCTTTTCTTTTCAAGATTATTTCGGGAAAAGCGTGTTTAAATTTCCTCAGATCTCGTCTCCCGAAATCAACCATTAGGTCTCTCGATGACCTAGTCAGATTGAGATGTGAAATTGCCACAACTCGAGTCCGTATTCATTTTCTGGAACAACGTGCCCGTTGCAACAGATATCCGATTACGTTTTGCAAACGCTTACGGAGGAATAAAATATGTGCCTCTACCAGGAATTTGAGACGTTTGATGCGATGTCAGATTGATGATTATAAAGAAAATCTAACGACACTTCAGACCACGTGCATCGAATGATCAATAATTCTTGACGAACTGAGCCTCGTTAGCCGAATCAAATTTACCAACTTGTGCATGGAAAACATACGAGAAGCCAAACTTTGTACATTCAACAAGCTTCAGAATTCCATCGTCCACAAGTTAGTCGAACCAAATTTTCCGAAACAACCAGAAAGGTTTGTGAAGAATTTGTCTCCGGTTGAACGAATGAACTTCAACTACAGGCTCTTTCGTGTGGTCTACGTTTCTGCATACCACCGAGTAAAATGACCAGCATAAAGACACAGGCGCAATTTGAATATCTATTCGAACAACTACAATTAGTCAAACGAACTTCAAAAGATGCGGAGACTTGGTTCAAAGCAAAGCTGGTTGACTTGGAACGACAGTACCGGATGACATCGTCCAAACATAAGTCACTCTTCACGCCTGAGCACATTCACATCCGCCATTGAAGAGCTACAGTTGTGACCTGATTTGTTAGTTTTACGCCCTAACAAGGGGTCCGGAGCAGTGCTGATCGATCGGAATGATTATGAGAAGAAGATGGAAAGTGTTCTTCATGATCCCAGCAAGTTTGTACTCGAAGATGACTGTGAAGACCCTAAAGAACTAGAACAACAGATATCGACCGCAGTACAGTTTCTACTAGAAGGACACTTCATCGATGAAAGCACAGCTCACCATCTGAAGCCAAAGGGAACTCGAAGTGCACAACTGTATGGTTTACCGAAACTAAACAAACCCGGAGTGCCACTTGGACCAATACTACTACTATCTATGACAAATTCACCACAACACGAATTGGCCAAATGGCTGGAGAAATTGCTTGAGCCAGTTCATAAATCAATGGTCAGACACACTATAAAAAAGACAGTTTCGAAGTGGTAAAGCTTTTGGACCAGATCAATGTGAAAGGGAAGCACATGGCTTCATTTGATTTCCAATCACTGTTTACGAATGTTCCCGGTCGGGAGGTCATACGTATCATGTGTGATCATGTGGAGCAAAACCAACTGAAAATCGGTATACCAGTATCAGTTCTGGTACGACAATTACTACTGTGCACAACAAACGTATCGTTCTCCTTCCTTGGTTGGGCTTACAGACAAATTGACGGTGTCGCAATCCGAACTCCATTGAGCCCCATTCTGGCACATATGTTTTTGGCTCATCTTGAGGAAAAGGCGAGCAAAATCCTCGAACGTTCACAACTTTATAAACGATACGTTGATCATGTTCTAGTCATCACAATAAGTCTAGAAGAGACAACATGGATTATGGATAAACTCGATCGCCTGCATCCGAATATACGATTTACGATGGAAACAGAAATCGAAGATACACTGCACTTCCTCGACATTAAAATGACTAGGAATAATGATGGAACAATGGCCAGATCTGTTTACCGAAAAGAAACTTGGACAGGCCAATGCTTGCAATTTGACAGCTTTGTGTCTGTGGAATATGAACGTGGTCTGGTCCGAACACTATTTCAAACAGCACGACATATCTGCACAGAAGACATGATTGACAACGAACTACGACAGCTGAAAGAATCTTTGACTAGGAACGCTTATCCCGATGCGTTTATCGAAAAGCACAGCAAGCCTAAATTGATCAGACAAACGAATTGTTCAGCAGAAAAACTACTAGTCACCATTTGTCTTCCATTCATACGTGATGACATCAATTGCTTGCTCAAACGACCACTTGGATCAGCGCTTGCCAAAAACAAATATTATGCACCTGACCTCAGAATTATTCATCGAACGATTGAGATCCCCACACCCTCGGTGAAACAACGTCCACCAATGTACACCAAATCGAATCTGATTTACCAATTTCAGTGTAGTTGCGGAGCAACCTACTTGGGTCGAACAGAGCGCCAGTTACGTAACCGAGTGATTGAATATATTCCAAATTGGGTACAACGTTTTGTGATGCAATCAGGGTCAGATCAAAGGCATAATGACAACGTTCGAAACCATAAGATCCCGTCGTCGGCTGTCGGCCGTCGGCCGTCGGCCGTCGCTCGTCATCTTCTGATGACGCAACATCCAGCTGACCGAACCACTGCGTTTCGGGTCATTTACGTGGCAAAGAATACCAGGCTTTTGAGGTTTGTTCAAACCATTGCCATACATTCATGGAAACCTAATATTGTGTCAGCACAAACAGCTCTGTGTTCATGTGTCTTTATCATGTTGACGTAACTTGACTATTGAAATTTCCCCTATATTTGTCGAAAAATGCAGGTTTAACATGAACTTATATAAACAGTATGGTTGTACAGTGTGCACCATGTTCAGATGCAGCGAAATCGTCCCGGACACGAATCGTGCAATGTTGCAACTGTGGCTTTTCTTTTCAAGACTATTTCGGGAAAAGCGTGTTTAAATTTCCTCAGATCTCGTCTCCCGAAATCAATCATTTGGTCTCTCAATGACCTAGTCAGATTGAGATGTGAAATTGCCACAACACGAGTCCGTATTCATTTACTGGAACAACGTGCCCGTTGCAACAAATATCCGATTACGTTTTGCAAACGCTTACGGAGAAATAAAATCTGTGCCTCTACCAGGAATTTGAGACGTTTGATGCGATGTCAGATTGATGATTATAAAGAAAATCTAACGACACTTCAGACCACGTGCATCGAATGATCAATAATTCTTGACGAACTGAGCCTCGTTAGCCGAATCAAATTTACCAACTTGTGCATGGAAAACATACGAGAAGCCAAACTTTGTACATTCAACAAGCTTCAGAATTCCATCGTCCACAAGTTAGTCGAACGAAATTCTCCGAAACAACCAGAAAGATTTGTGAAGAATTTGTCTCCGGTTAAACGAATGAACTTCAACTACAAGCTCTTTCGTGTGGTCTACGTTTCTGCATACCACCGAGTAAAATGACCAGCATAAAGACACAGGCGCAATTTGAATATCTATTCGAACAACTACAATTAGTCAAACGAACTTCAAAAGATGCGGAGACTTGGTTCAAAGCAAAGCTGGTTGACTTGGAACGACAGTACCGGATGACATCGTCCAAACATAAGTCACTCTTCACGCCTGAGCACATTCACATCCGCCATTGAAGAGCTACAGTTGTGACCTGATTTGTTAGTTTTACGCCCTAACAAGGGGTCCGGAGCAGTGCTGATCGATCGGAATGATTATGAGAAGAAGATGGAAAGTGTTCTTCATGATCCCAGCAAGTTTGTACTCGAAGATGACTGTGAAGACCCTAAAGAATTAGAACAACAGATATCGACAGCAGTACAGTTTCTACTAGAAGGACACTTCATCGATGAAAGCACAGCTCACCATCTGAAGCCAAAAGGAACTCGAAGTGCACAACTGTATGGTTTACCGAAACTAAACAAACCCGGAGTGCCACTTGGACCAATACTACTACTATCTATGACAAATTCACCACAACACGAATTGGCCAAATGGCTGGAGAAATTGCTTGACCCAGTTCATAAATCAATGGTCAGACACACTATAAAAAAGACAGTTTCGAAGTGGTAAAGCTTTTGGACCAGATCAATGTGAAAGGGAAGCACATGGCTTCATTTGATTTCCAATCACTGTTTACGAATGTTCCCGGTCGGGAGGTCATACGTATCATGTGTGATCATGTGGAGCAAAACCAACTGAAAATCGGTATACCAGTATCAGTTCTGGTACGACAATTACTACTGTGCACAACAAACGTATCGTTCTCCTTCCTTGGTTGGGCTTACAGACAAATTGACGGTGTCGCAATCCGAACTCCATTGAGCCCCATTCTGGCACATATGTTTTTGGCTCATCTTGAGGAAAAGGCGAGCAAAATCCTCGAACGTTCACAACTTTACAAACGATACGTTGATCATGTTCTAGTCATCACAATAAGTCTAGAAGAGACAACATGGATTATGGATAAACTCGATCGCCTGCATCCGAATATACGATTTACGATGGAAACAGAAATCGAAGATACACTGCACTTCCTCGACATTAAAATGACTATGAATAATGATGGAACAATGGCCAGATCTGTTTACCGAAAAGAAACTTGGACAGGCCAATGCTTGCAAATTGACAGCTTTGTGTCTGTGGAATATGAACGTGGTCTGGTCCGAACACTATTTCAAACAGCACGACATATCTGCACAGAAGACATGATTGACAACGAACTACGACAGCTGAAAGAATCTTTGACTAGAAACGCTTATCCCGATGCGTTTATCGAAAAGCACAGCAAGCCTAAATTGATCAGACAAACGAATTGTTCAGCAGAAAAACTACTAGTCACCCTTTGTCTTCCATTCATACGTGATGACATCAATTGCTTGCTCAAACGACCACTTGGATCAGCGCTTGCCCAGAACAAATATTATGCACCTGACCTCAGAATTATTCATCGAACGATTGAGATCCCCACACCCTCGGTGAAACAACGTCCACCTCTGTACACCAAATCGAATCTGATTTACCAATTTCAGTGTAGTTGCGAAGCAACCTACGTGGGTCGAACAGAGCGCCAGTTACGTAACCGAGTGATTGAATATATTCCAAATTGGGTACAACGTTTTGTGATGCAATCAGGGTCAGATCAAAGGCATAATGACAACGTTCGAAACCATAAGATCCCGTCGTCGGCTGTCGGCCGTCGCTCGTCATCTTCTGATGACGCAACATCCAGCTGACCGAACCACTGCGTTTCGGGTCATTTACGTGGCAAAGAATACCAGGCTTTTGAGGTTTGTTCAAACCATTGCCATACAGTCATGGAAACCTAATATTGTGTCAGCACAAACAGCTCTGTGTTCATGTGTCTTTATCATGGTGACGTAACTTGACTATTGAAATTTCCCCTATATTTGTCGAAAATTATGGTTTTACATGAACTTATATAAACAGTATGGTTGTGCAGTGTGCACCATGTTCAGATGCAGCGAAATCGTCCCGGACACGAATCGTGCAATGTTGCAACTGTGGCTTTTCTTTTCAAGTTAATTTCGGGAAAAGCATGTTTAAATTTCCTCAGATCTCGTCTCCCGAAATCAACCATTAGGTCTCTCGATGACCTAGTCAGATTGAGATGTGAAATTGCCACAACTCGAGTCCGTATTCATTTTCTGGAACAACGTGCCCGTTGCAACAGATATCCGATTACGTTTTGCAAACGCTTACGGAGGAATAAAATCTGTGCCTCTACCAGGAATTTGAGACGTTTGATGCGATGTCAGATTGATGATTATAAAGAAAATCTAACGACACTTCAGACCACGTGCATCGAATGATCAATAATTCTTGACGAACTGAGCCTCGTTAGCCGAATCAAATTTACCAACTTGTGCATGGAAAACATACGAGAAGCCACACTTTGTACATTCAACAAGCTTCAGAATTCCATCGTCCACAAGTTAGTCGAACCACATTTTCCGAAACAACCAGAAAGGTTTGTGAAGAATTTGTCTCCGGTTAAACGAATGAACTTCAACTACAGGCTCTTTCGTGTGGTCTACGTTTCTGCATACCACCGAGTAAAATGACCAGCATAAAGACACAGGCGCAATTTGAATATCTATTCGAACAACTACAATTAGTCAAACGAACTTCAAAAGATGCGGAGACTTGGTTCAAAGCAAAGCTGGTTGACTTGGAACGACAGTACCGGATGACATCGTCCAAACATAAGTCACTCTTCACGCCTGAGCACATTCACATCCGCCATTGAAGAGCTACAGTTGTGACCTGATTTGTTAGTTTTACGCCCTAACAAGGGGTCCGGAGCAGTGCTCATCGATCGGAATGATTATGAGAAGAAGATGGAAAGTGTTCTTCATGATCCCAGCAAGTTTGTACTCGAAGATGACTGTGAAGACCCTAAAGAATTAGAACAACAGATATCGACAGCAGTACAGTTTCTACTAGAAGGACACTTCATCGATGAAAGCACAGCTCACCATCTGAAGCCAAAAGGAACTCGAAGTGCACAACTGTATGGTTTACCGAAACTAAACAAACCCGGAGTGCCACTTGGACCAATACTACTACTATCTATGACAAATTCACCACAACACGAATTGGCCAAATGGCTGGAGAAATTGCTTGACCCAGTTCATAAATCAATGGTCAGACACACTATAAAAAAGACAGTTTCGAAGTGGTAAAGCTTTTGGACCAGATCAATGTGAAAGGGAAGCACATGGCTTCATTTGATTTCCAATCACTGTTTACGAATGTTCCCGGTCGGGAGGTCATACGTATCATGTGTGATCATGTGGAGCAAAACGAACTGAAAATCGGTATACCAGTATCAGTTCTGGTACGACAATTACTACTGTGCACAACAAACGTATCGTTCTCCTTCCTTGGTTGGGCTTACAGACAAATTGACGGTGTCGCAATCCGAACTCCATTGAGCCCCATTCTGGCACATATGTTTTTGGCTCATCTTGAGGAAAAGGCGAGCAAAATCCTCGAACGTTCACAACTTTACAAACGATACGTTGATCATGTTCTAGTCATCACAATAAGTCTAGAAGAGACAACATGGATTATGGATAAACTCGATCGCCTGCATCCGAATATACGATTTACGATGGAAACAGAAATCGAAGATACACTGCACTTCCTCGACATTAAAATCACTAGGAATAATGATGGAACAATGGCCAGATCTGTTTACCGAAAAGAAACCTGGACAGGCCAATGCTTGCAATTTGACAGCTTTGTGTCTGTGGAATATGAACGTGGTCTGGTCCGAACACTATTTCAAACAGCACGACATATATGCACAGAAGACATGATTGACAACGAACTACGACAGCTGAAAGAATCTTTGACTAGAAACGCTTATCCCGATGCGTTTATCGAAAAGCACAGCAAGCCTAAATTGATCAGACAAACGAATTGTTCAGCAGAAAAACTACTAGTCACCATTTGTCTTCCATTCATACGTGATGACATCAATTGCTTGCTCAAACGACCACTTGGATCAGCGCTTGCCCAAAACAAATATTATGCACCTGACCTCAGAATTATTCATCGAACGATTGAGATCCCCACACCCTCGGTGAAACAACGTCCACCTCTGTACACCAAATCGAATCTGATTTACCAATTTCAGTGTAGTTGCGGAGCAACGTACGTGGGTCGAACAGAGCGCCAGTTACGTAACCGAGTGATTGAATATATTCCAAATTGGGTACAACGTTTTGTGATGCAATCAGGGTCAGATCAAAGGCATAATGACAACGTTCGAAACCATAAGATCCCGTCGTCGGCTGTCGGCCGTCGGCCGTCGGCCGTCGCTCGTCATCTTCTGATGACGCAACATCCAGCTGACCGAAGCACTGCGTTTCGGGTCATTTACGTGGCAAAAAATACTAGGCTTTTGAGGTTTGTTCAAACCATTGCCATACATTCATGGAAACCTAATATTGTGTCAGCACAAACAGCTCTTTGTTCATGTGTCTTTATCATGGTAACGTAACTTGACTATTGAAATTTCCCCTATATTTGTCGAAAATTATGGTTTTACATGAACTTATGTAAGCAGTATGGTTGTGCAGTGTGCACCATGTTCAGATGCAGCGAAATCGTCCCGGACACGAATCGTGCAATGTTGCAACTGTGGCTTTTCTTTTCAAGACTATTTCGGGAAAAGCATGTTTAAATTTCCTCAGATCTCGTCTCCCGAAATCAACCATTAGGTCTCTCGATGACCTAGTCAGATTGAGATGTGAAATTGCCACAACTCGAGTCCGTATTCATTTTCTGGAACAACGTGCCCGTTGCAACAGATATCCGATTACGTTTTGCAAACGCTTACGGAGGAATAAAATCTGTGCCTCTACCAGGAATTTGAGACGTTTGATGCGATGTCAGATTGATGATTATAAAGAAAATCTAACGACACTTCAGACCACGTGCATCGAATGATCAATAATTCTTGACGAACTGAGCCTCGTTAGCCGAATCAAATTTACCAACTTGTTCATGGAAAACATACGAGAAGCCAAACTTTGTACATTCAACAAGCTTCAGAATTCCATCGTCCACAAGTCAGTCGAACCAAATTTTTCGAAACAACCAGAAAGGTTTGTGAAGAATTTGTCTCCGGTTAAACGAATGAACTTCAACTACAGGCTCTTTCGTGTGGTCTACGTTTCTGCATACCACCGAGTAAAATGACCAGCATAAAGACACAGGCGCAATTTGAATATCTATTCGAACAACTACAATTAGTCAAACGAACTTCAAAAGATGCGGAGACTTGGTTCAAAGCAAAGCTGGTTGACTTGGAACGACAGTACCGGATGACATCGTCCAAACATAAGTCACTCTTCACGCCTGAGCACATTCACATCCGCCATTGAAGAGCTACAGTTGTGACCTGATTTGTTAGTTTTACGCCCTAACAAGGGGTCCGGAGCAGTGCTGATCGATCGGAATGATTATGAGAAGAAGATGGAAAGTGTTCTTCATGATCCCAGCAAGTTTGTACTCGAAGATGACTGTGAAGACCCTAAAGAACTAGAACAACAGATATCGACAGCAGTACAGTTTCTACTAGAAGGACACTTCATCGATGAAAGCACAGCTCACCATCTGAAGCCAAAAGGAACTCGAAGTGCACAACTGTATGGTTTACCGAAACTAAACAAACCCGGAGTGCCACTTGGACCAATACTACTACTATCTATGACAAATTCACCACAACACGAATTGGCCAAATGGCTGGAGAAATTGCTTGAGCCAGTTCATAAATCAATGGTCAGACACACTATAAAAAAGACAGTTTCGAAGTGGTAAAGCTTTTGGACCAGATCAATGTGAAAGGGAAGCACATGGCTTCATTTGATTTCCAATCACTGTTTACGAATGTTCCCGGTCGGGAGGTCATACGTATCATGTGTGATCATGTGGAGCAAAACCAACTGAAAATCGGTATACCAGTATCAGTTCTGGTACGACAATTACTACTGTGCACAACAAACGTATCGTTCTCCTTCCTTGGTTGGGCTTACAGACAAATTGACGGTGTCGCAATCCGAACTCCATTGAGCCCCATTCTGGCACATATGTTTTTGGCTCATCTTGAGGAAAAGGCGAGCAAAATCCTCGAACGTTCACAACTTTACAAACGATACGTTGATCATGTTCTAGTCATCACAATAAGTCTAGAAGAGACAACATGGATTATGGATAAACTCGATCGCCTGCATCCGAATATACGATTTACGATGGAAACAGAAATCGAAGATACACTGCACTTCCTCGACATTAAAATCACTAGGAATAATGATGGAACAATGGCCAGATCTGTTTACCGAAAAGAAACTTGGACAGGCCAATGCTTGCAATTTGACAGCTTTGTGTCTGTGGAATATGAACGTGGTCTGGTCCGAACACTATTTCAAACAGCACGACATATCTGCACAGAAGACATGATTGACAACGAACTACGACAGCTGAAAGAATCTTTGACTAGAAACGCTTATCCCGATGCGTTTATCGAAAAGCACAGCAAGCCTAAATTGATCAGACAAACGAATTGTTCAGCAGAAAAACTACTAGTCACCCTTTGTCTTCCATTCATACGTGATGACATCAATTGCTTGCTCAAACGACCACTTGGATCAGCGCTTGCCCAAAACAAATATTATGCACCTGACCTCAGAATTATTCATCGAACGATTGAGATCCCCACACCCTCGGTGAAACAACGTCCACCTCTGTACACCAAATCGAATCTGATTTACCAATTTCAGTGTAGTTGCGGAGCAACGTACGTGGGTCGAACAGAGCGCCAGTTACGTAACCGATTGATTGAATATATTCCAAATTGGGTACAACGTTTTGTGATGCAATCAGGGTCAGATCAAAGGCATAATGACAACGTTCGAAACCATAAGATCCCGTCGTCGGCTGTCGGCCGTCGCTCGTCATCTTCTGATGACGCAACATCCAGCTGACCGAAGCACTGCGTTTCGGGTCATTTACGTGGCAAAGAATACCAGGCTTTTGAGGTTTGTTCAAACCATTGCCATACATTCATGGAAACCTAATATTGTGTTAGCACAAACAGCTCTTTGTTCATGTGTCTTTATCATGGTGACGTAACTTGACTATTGAAATTTCCCCTATATTTGTCGAAAATTATGGTTTTACATGAACTTATATAAACAGTATGGTTGTGCAGTGTGCACCATGTTCAGATGCAGCGAAATCGTCCCGGACACGAATCGTGCAATGTTGCAACTGTGGCTTTTCTTTTCAAGATTATTTCGGGAAAAGCATGTTTAAATTTCCTCAGATCTCGTCTCCCGAAATCAACCATTAGGTCTCTCGATGACCTAGTCAGATTGAGATGTGAAATTGCCACAGCTCGAGTCCGTATTCATTTTCTGGAACAACGTGCCCGTTGCAACAGATATCCGATTACGTTTTGCAAACGCTTACGGAGGAATAAAATCTGTGCCTCTACCAGGAATTTGAGACGTTTGATGCGATATCAAATTGATGATTATAAAGAAAATCTAACGACACTTCAGACCACGTGCATCGAATGATCAATAATTCTTGACGAACCGAGCCTCGTTAGCCGAATCAAATTTACCAACTTGTGCATGGAAAACATACGAGAAGCCAAACTTTGTACATTCAACAAGCTTCAGAATTCCATCGTCCACAAGTTAGTCGAACCAAATTTTCCGAAACAACCAGAAAGGTTTGTGAAGAATTTGTCTCCGGTTGAACGAATGAACTTCAACTACAAGCTCTTTCGTGTGGTCTACGTTTCTGCATACCACCGAGTAAAATGACCAGCATAAAGACACAGGCGCAATTTGAATATCTATTCGAACAACTACAATTAGTCAAACGAACTTCAAAAGATGCGGAGACTTGGTTCAAAGCAAAGCTGGTTGACTTGGAACGACAGTACCGGATGACATCGTCCAAACATAAGTCACTCTTCACGCCTGAGCACATTCACATCCGCCATTGAAGAGCTACAGTTGTGACCTGATTTGTTAGTTTTACGCCCTAACAAGGGGTCCGGAGCAGTGCTCATCGATCGGAATGATTATGAGAAGAAGATGGAAAGTGTTCTTCATGATCCCAGCAAGTTTGTACTCGAAGATGACTGTGAAGACCCTAAAGAACTAGAACAACAGATATCGACAGCAGTACAGTTTCTACTAGAAGGACACTTCATCGATGAAAGCACAGCTCACCATCTGAAGCCAAAAGGAACTCGAAGTGCACAACTGTATGGTTTATCGAAACTAAACAAACCCGGAGTGCCACTTGGACCAATACTACTACTATCTATGACAAATTCACCACAACACGAATTGGCCAAATGGCTGGAGAAATTGCTTGAGCCAGTTCATAAATCAATGGTCAGACACACTATAAAAAAGACAGTTTCGAAGTGGTAAAGCTTTTGGACCAGATCAATGTGAAAGGGAAGCACATGGCTTCATTTGATTTCCAATCACTGTTTACGAATGTTCCCGGTCGGGAGGTCATACGTATCATGTGTGATCATGTGGAGCAAAACCAACTGAAAATCGGTATACCAGTATCAGTTCTGGTACGACAATTACTACTGTGCACAACAAACGTATCGTTCTCCTTCCTTGGTTGGGCTTACAGACAAATTGACGGTGTCGCAATCCGAACTCCATTGAGCCCCATTCTGGCACATATGTTTTTGGCTCATCTTGAGGAAAAGGCGAGCAAAATCCTCGAACGTTCACAACTTTACAAACGATACGTTGATCATGTTCTAGTCATCACAATAAGTCTAGAAGAGACAACATGGATTATGGATAAACTCGATCGCCTGCATCCGAATATACGATTTACGATGGAAACAGAAATCGAAGATACACTGCACTTCCTCGACATTAAAATGACTAGGAATAATGATGGAACAATGGCCAGATCTGTTTACCGAAAAGAAACCTGGACAGGCCAATGCTTGCAATTTGACAGCTTTGTGTCTGTGGAATATGAACGTGGTCTGGTCCGAACACTATTTCAAACAGCACGACATATCTGCACAGAAGACATGATTGACAACGAACTACGACAGCTGAAAGAATCTTTGACTAGAAACGCTTATCCCGATGCGTTTATCGAAAAGCACAGCAAGCCTAAATTGATCAGACAAACGAATTGTTCAGCAGAAAAACTACTAGTCACCATTTGTCTTCCATTCATACGTGATGACATCAATTGCTTGCTCAAACGACCACTTGGATCAGCGCTTGCCCAAAACAAATATTATGCACCTGACCTCAGAATTATTCATCGAACGATTGAGATCCCCACACCCTCGGTGAAACAACGTCCACCTCTGTACACCAAATCGAATCTGATTTACCAATTTCAGTGTAGTTGCGGAGCAACCTACGTGGGTCGAACAGAGCGCCAGTTACGTAACCGAGTGATTGAATATATTCCAAATTGGGTACAACGTTTTGTGATGCAATCAGGGTCAGATCAAAGGCATAATGACAACGTTCGAAACCATAAGATCCCGTCGTCGGCTGTCGGCCGTCGCTCGTCATCTTCTGATGACGCAACATCCAGCTGACCGAAGCACTGCGTTTCGGGTCATTTACGTGGCAAAGAATACCAGGCTTTTGAGGTTTGTTCCAACCATTGCCATACATTCATGGAAACCTAATATTGTGTCAGCACAAACAGCTCTTTGTTCATGTGTCTTTATCATGGTGACGTAACTTGACTATTGAAATTTCCCCTATATTTGTCGAAAATTATGGTTTTACATGAACTTATATAAACAGTATGGTTGTGCAGTGTGCACCATGTTCAGATGCAGCGAAATCGTCCCGGACACGAATCGTGCAATGTTGCAACTGTGGCTTTTCTTTTCAAGATTATTTCGGGAAAAGCATGTTTAAATTTCCTCAGATCTCGTCTCCCGAAATCAATCATTTGGTCTCTCAATGACCTAGTCAGATTGAGATGTGAAATTGCCACAACTCAAGTCCGTATTCATTTTCTGGAACAACGTGCCCGTTGCAACAGATATCCGATTACGTTTTGCAAACGCTTACGGAGGAATAAAATCTGTGCCTCTACCAGGAATTTGAGACGTTTGATGCGATGTCAGATTGATGATTATAAAGAAAATCTAACGACACTTCAGACCACGTGCATCGAATGATCAATAATTCTTGATGAACTGAGCCTCGTTAGCCGAATCAAATTTACCAACTTGTGCATGGAAAACATACGAGAAGCCAAACTTTGTACATTCAACAAGCTTCAGAATTCCATCGTCCACAAGTTAGTCGAACCAAATTTTCCGAAACAACCAGAAAGGTTTGTGAAGAATTTGTCTCCGGTTAAACGAATGAACTTCAACTACAAGCTCTTTCGTGTGGTCTACGTTTCTGCATACCACCGAGTAAAATGACCAGCATAAAGACACAGGCGCAATTTGAATATCTATTCGAACAACTACAATTAGTCAAACGAACTTCAAAAGATGCGGAGACTTGGTTCAAAGCAAAGCTGGTTGACTTGGAACGACAGTACCGGATGACATCGTCCAAACATAAGTCACTCTTCACGCCTGAGCACATTCACATCCGCCATTGAAGAGCTACAGTTGTGACCTGATTTGTTAGTTTTACGCCCTAACAAGGGGTCCGGAGCAGTGCTCATCGATCGGAATGATTATGAGAAGAAGATGGAAAGTGTTCTTCATGATCCCAGCAAGTTTGTACTCGAAGATGACTGTGAAGACCCTAAAGAACTAGAACAACAGATATCGACCGCAGTACAGTTTCTACTAGAAGGACACTTCATCGATGAAAGCACAGCTCACCATCTGAAGCCAAAAGGAACTCGAAGTGCACAACTGTATGGTTTACCGAAACTTAACAAACCCGGAGTGCCACTTGGACCAATACTACTACTATCTATGACAAATTCACCACAACACGAATTGGCCAAATGGCTGGAGAAATTGCTTGAGCCAGTTCATAAATCAATGGTCAGACACACTATAAAAAAGACAGTTTCGAAGTGGTAAAGCTTTTGGACCAGATCAATGTGAAAGGGAAGCACATGGCTTCATTTGATTTCCAATCACTGTTTACGAATGTTCCCGGTCGGGAGGTCATACGTATCATGTGTGATCATGTGGAGCAAAACCAACTGAAAATCGGTATACCAGTATCAGTTCTGGTACGACAATTACTACTGTGCACAACAAACGTATCGTTCTCCTTCCTTGGTTGGGCTTACAGACAAATTGACGGTGTCGCAATCCGAACTCCATTGAGCCCCATTCTGGCACATATGTTTTTGGCTCATCTTGAGGAAAAGGCGAGCAAAATCCTCGAACGTTCACAACTTTACAAACGATACGTTGATCATGTTCTAGTCATCACAATAAGTCTAGAAGAGACAACATGGATTATGGATAAACTCGATCGCCTGCATCCGAATATACGATTTACGATGGAAACAGAAATCGAAGATACACTGCACTTCCTCGACATTAAAATGACTAGGAATAATGATGGAACAATGGCCAGATCTGTTTACCGAAAAGAAACCTGGACAGGCCAATGCTTGCAATTTGACAGCTTTGTGTCTGTGGAATATGAACGTGGTCTGGTCCGAACACTATTTCAAACAGCACGACATATCTGCACAGAAGACATGATTGACAACGAACTACGACAGCTGAAAGAATCTTTGACTAGAAACGCTTATCCCGATGCGTTTATCGAAAAGCACAGCAAGCCTAAATTGATCAGACAAACGAATTGTTCAGCAGAAAAACTACTAGTCACCATTTGTCTTCCATTCATACGTGATGACATCAATTGCTTGCTCAAACGACCACTTGGATCAGCGCTTGCCCAAAACAAATATTATGCACCTGACCTCAGAATTATTCATCGAACGATTGAGATCCCCACACCCTCGGTGAAACAACGTCCACCTCTGTACACCAAATCGAATCTGATTTACCAATTTCAGTGTAGTTGCGGAGCAACCTACGTGGGTCGAACAGAGCGCCAGTTACGTAACCGAGTGATTGAATATATTCCAAATTGGGTACAACGTTTTGTGATGCAATCAGGGTCAGATCAAAGGCATAATGACAACGTTCGAAACCATAAGATCCCGTCGTCGGCTGTCGGCCGTCGGCCGTCGGCCGTCGCTCGTCATCTTCTGATGACGCAACATCCAGCTGACCGAAGCACTGCGTTTCGGGTCATTTACGTGGCAAAGAATACCAGGCTTTTGAGGTTTGTTCAAACCATTCCCATACATTCATGGAAACTTAATATTGTGTCAGCACAAACAGCTCTTTGTTCATGTGTCTTTATCATGGTGACGTAACTTGACTATTGAAATTTCCCCTATATTTGTCGAAAATTATGGTTTTACATGAACTTATATAAACAGTATGGTTGTGCAGTGTGCACCATGTTCAGATGCAGCGAAATCGTCCCGGACACGAATCGTGCAATGTTGCAACTGTGGCTTTTCTTTTCAAGATTATTTCGGGAAAAGCATGTTTAAATTTCCTCAGATCTCGTCTCCCGAAATCAACCATTAGGTCTCTCGATGACCTAGTCAGATTGAGATGTGAAATTGCCACAGCTCGAGTCCGTATTCATTTTCTGGAACAACGTGCCCGTTGCAACAGATATCCGATTACGTTTTGCAAACGCTTACGGAGGAATAAAATCTGTGCCTCTACCAGGAATTTGAGACGTTTGATGCGATATCAAATTGATGATTATAAAGAAAATCTAACGACACTTCAGACCACGTGCATCGAATGATCAATAATTCTTGACGAACCGAGCCTCGTTAGCCGAATCAAATTTACCAACTTGTGCATGGAAAACATACGAGAAGCCAAACTTTGTACATTCAACAAGCTTCAGAATTCCATCGTCCACAAGTTAGTCGAACCAAATTTTCCGAAACAACCAGAAAGGTTTGTGAAGAATTTGTCTCCGGTTGAACGAATGAACTTCAACTACAAGCTCTTTCGTGTGGTCTACGTTTCTGCATACCACCGAGTAAAATGACCAGCATAAAGACACAGGCGCAATTTGAATATCTATTCGAACAACTACAATTAGTCAAACGAACTTCAAAAGATGCGGAGACTTGGTTCAAAGCAAAGCTGGTTGACTTGGAACGACAGTACCGGATGACATCGTCCAAACATAAGTCACTCTTCACGCCTGAGCACATTCACATCCGCCATTGAAGAGCTACAGTTGTGACCTGATTTGTTAGTTTTACGCCCTAACAAGGGGTCCGGAGCAGTGCTGATCGATCGGAATGATTATGAGAAGAAGATGGAAAGTGTTTTTCATGATCCCAGCAAGTTTGTACTCGAAGATGACTGTGAAGACCCTAAAGAACTAGAACAACAGATATTGACAGCAGTACAGTTTCTACTAGAAGGACACTTCATCGATGAAAGCACAGCTCACCATCTGAAGCCAAAAGGAACTCGAAGTGCACAACTGTATGGTTTACCGAAACTAAACAAACCCGGAGTGCCACTTGGACCAATACTACTACTATCTATGACAAATTCACCACAACACGAATTGGCCAAATGGCTGGAGAAATTGCTTGAGCCAGTTCATAAATCAATGGTCAGACACACTATAAAAAAGACAGTTTCGAAGTGGTAAAGCTTTTGGACCAGATCAATGTGAAAGGGAAGCACATGGCTTCATTTGATTTCCAATCACTGTTTACGAATGTTCCCGGTCGGGAGGTCATACGTATCATGTGTGATCATGTGGAGCAAAACCAACTGAAAATCGGTATACCAGTATCAGTTCTGGTACGACAATTACTACTGTGCACAACAAACGTATCGTTCTCCTTCCTTGGTTGGGCTTACAGACAAATTGACGGTGTCGCAATCCGAACTCCATTGAGCCCCATTCTGGCACATATGTTTTTGGCTCATCTTGAGGAAAAGGCGAGCAAAATCCTCGAACGTTCACAACTTTACAAACGATACGTTGATCATGTTCTAGTCATCACAATAAGTCTAGAAGAGACAACATGGATTATGGATAAACTCGATCGCCTGCATCCGAATATACGATTTACGATGGAAACAGAAATCGAAGATACACTGCACTTCCTCGACATTAAAATCACTAGGAATAATGATGGAACAATGGCCAGATCTGTTTACCGAAAAGAAACCTGGACAGGCCAATGCTTGCAATTTGACAGCTTTGTGTCTGTGGAATATGAACGTGGTCTGGTCCGAACACTATTTCAAACAGCACGACATATCTGCACAGAAGACATGATTGACAACGAACTACGACAGCTGAAAGAATCTTTGACTAGAAACGCTTATCCCGATGCGTTTATCGAAAAGCACAGCAAGCCTAAATTGATCAGACAAACGAATTGTTCAGCAGAAAAACTACAAGTCACCATTTGTCTTCCATTCATACGTGATGACATCAATTGCTTGCTCAAACGACCACTTGGATCAGCGCTTGCCCAGAACAAATATTATGCACCTGACCTCAGAATTATTCATCGAACGATTGAGATCCCCACACCCTCGGTGAAACAACGTCCACCTCTGTACACCAAATCGAATCTGATTTACCAATTTCAGTGTAGTTGCGAAGCAACGTACGTGGGTCGAACAGAGCGCCAGTTACGTAACCGAGTGATTGAATATATTCCAAATTGGGTACAACGTTTTGTGATGCAATCAGGGTCAGATCAAAGGCATAATGACAACGTTCGAAACCATAAGATCCCGTCGTCGGCTGTCGGCCGTCGGCCGTCGGCCGTCGCTCGTCATCTTCTGATGACGCAACATCCAGCTGACCGAAGCACTGCGTTTCGGGTCATTTACGTGGCAAAGAATACCAGGCTTTTGAGGTTTGTTCAAACCATTCCCATACATTCATGGAAACTTAATATTGTGTCAGCACAAACAGCTCTTTGTTCATGTGTCTTTATCATGGTGACGTAACTTGACTATTGAAATTTCCCCTATATTTGTCGAAAATTATGGTTTTACATGAACTTATATAAACAGTATGGTTGTGCAGTGTGCACCATGTTCAGATGCAGCGAAATCGTCCCGGACACGAATCGTGCAATGTTGCAACTGTGGCTTTTCTTTTCAAGATTATTTCGGGAAAAGCATGTTTAAATTTCCTCAGATCTCGTCTCCCGAAATCAACCATTAGGTCTCTCGATGACCTAGTCAGATTGAGATGTGAAATTGCCACAGCTCGAGTCCGTATTCATTTTCTGGAACAACGTGCCCGTTGCAACAGATATCCGATTACGTTTTGCAAACGCTTACGGAGGAATAAAATCTGTGCCTCTACCAGGAATTTGAGACGTTTGATGCGATATCAAATTGATGATTATAAAGAAAATCTAACGACACTTCAGACCACGTGCATCGAATGATCAATAATTCTTGACGAACCGAGCCTCGTTAGCCGAATCAAATTTACCAACTTGTGCATGGAAAACATACGAGAAGCCAAACTTTGTACATTCAACAAGCTTCAGAATTCCATCGTCCACAAGTTAGTCGAACCAAATTTTCCGAAACAACCAGAAAGGTTTGTGAAGAATTTGTCTCCGGTTGAACGAATGAACTTCAACTACAAGCTCTTTCGTGTGGTCTACGTTTCTGCATACCACCGAGTAAAATGACCAGCATAAAGACACAGGCGCAATTTGAATATCTATTCGAACAACTACAATTAGTCAAACGAACTTCAAAAGATGCGGAGACTTGGTTCAAAGCAAAGCTGGTTGACTTGGAACGACAGTACCGGATGACATCGTCCAAACATAAGTCACTCTTCACGCCTGAGCACATTCACATCCGCCATTGAAGAGCTACAGTTGTGACCTGATTTGTTAGTTTTACGCCCTAACAAGGGGTCCGGAGCAGTGCTCATCGATCGGAATGATTATGAGAAGAAGATGGAAAGTGTTTTTCATGATCCCAGCAAGTTTGTACTCGAAGATGACTGTGAAGACCCTAAAGAACTAGAACAACAGATATTGACAGCAGTACAGTTTCTACTAGAAGGACACTTCATCGATGAAAGCACAGCTCACCATCTGAAGCCAAAAGGAACTCGAAGTGCACAACTGTATGGTTTACCGAAACTAAACAAACCCGGAGTGCCACTTGGACCAATACTACTACTATCTATGACAAATTCACCACAACACGAATTGGCCAAATGGCTGGAGAAATTGCTTGAGCCAGTTCATAAATCAATGGTCAGACACACTATAAAAAAGACAGTTTCGAAGTGGTAAAGCTTTTGGACCAGATCAATGTGAAAGGGAAGCACATGGCTTCATTTGATTTCCAATCACTGTTTACGAATGTTCCCGGTCGGGAGGTCATACGTATCATGTGTGATCATGTGGAGCAAAACCAACTGAAAATCGGTATACCAGTATCAGTTCTGGTACGACAATTACTACTGTGCACAACAAACGTACAGTTCTCCTTCCTTGGTTGGGCTTACAGACAAATTGACGGTGTCGCAATCCGAACTCCATTGAGCCCCATTCTGGCACATATGTTTTTGGCTCATCTTGAGGAAAAGGCGAGCAAAATCCTCGAACGTTCACAACTTTACAAACGATACGTTGATCATGTTCTAGTCATCACAATAAGTCTAGAAGAGACAACATGGATTATGGATAAACTCGATCGCCTGCATCCGAATATACGATTTACGATGGAAACAGAAATCGAAGATACACTGCACTTCCTCGACAATAAAATCACTAGGAATAATGATGGAACAATGGCCAGATCTGTTTACCGAAAAGAAACTTGGACAGGCCAATGCTTGCAATTTGACAGCTTTGTGTTTGTGGAATATGAACGTGGTCTGGTCCGAACACTATTTCAAACAGCACGACATATATGCACAGAAGACATGATTGACAACGAACTACGACAGCTGAAAGAATCTTTGACTAGAAACGCTTATCCCGATGCGTTTATCGAAAAGCACAGCAAGCCTAAATTGATCAGACAAACGAATTGTTCAGCAGAAAAACTACTAGTCACCATTTGTCTTCCATTCATACGTGATGACATCAATTGCTTGCTCAAACGACCACTTGGATCAGCGCTTGCCCAAAACAAATATTATGCACCTGACCTCAGAATTATTCATCGAACGATTGAGATCCCCACACCCTCGGTGAAACAACGTCCACCTCTGTACACCAAATCGAATCTGATTTACCAATTTCAGTGTAGTTGCGGAGCAACGTACGTGGGTCGAACAGAGCGCCAGTTACGTAACCGATTGATTGAATATATTCCAAATTGGGTACAACGTTTTGTGATGCAATCAGGGTCAGATCAAAGGCATAATGACAACGTTCGAAACCATAAGATCCCGTCGTCGGCTGTCGGCCGTCGCTCGTCATCTTCTGATGACGCAACATCCAGCTGACCGAAGCACTGCGTTTCGGGTCATTTACGTGGCAAAGAATACCAGGCTTTTGAGGTTTGTTCAAACCATTCCCATACATTCATGGAAACTTAATATTGTGTCAGCACAAACAGCTCTTTGTTCATGTGTCTTTATCATGGTGACGTAACTTGACTATTGAAATTTCCCCTATATTTGTCGAAAATTATGGTTTTACATGAACTTATATAAACAGTATGGTTGTGCAGTGTGCACCATGTTCAGATGCAGCGAAATCGTCCCGGACACGAATCGTGCAATGTTGCAACTGTGGCTTTTCTTTTCAAGATTATTTCGGGAAAAGCATGTTTAAATTTCCTCAGATCTCGTCTCCCGAAATCAACCATTAGGTCTCTCGATGACCTAGTCAGATTGAGATGTGAAATTGCCACAGCTCGAGTCCGTATTCATTTTCTGGAACAACGTGCCCGTTGCAACAGATATCCGATTACGTTTTGCAAACGCTTACGGAGGAATAAAATCTGTGCCTCTACCAGGAATTTGAGACGTTTGATGCGATATCAAATTGATGATTATAAAGAAAATCTAACGACACTTCAGACCACGTGCATCGAATGATCAATAATTCTTGACGAACCGAGCCTCGTTAGCCGAATCAAATTTACCAACTTGTGCATGGAAAACATACGAGAAGCCAAACTTTGTACATTCAACAAGCTTCAGAATTCCATCGTCCACAAGTTAGTCGAACCAAATTTTCCGAAACAACCAGAAAGGTTTGTGAAGAATTTGTCTCCGGTTGAACGAATGAACTTCAACTACAAGCTCTTTCGTGTGGTCTACGTTTCTGCATACCACCGAGTAAAATGACCAGCATAAAGACACAGGCGCAATTTGAATATCTATTCGAACAACTACAATTAGTCAAACGAACTTCAAAAGATGCGGAGACTTGGTTCAAAGCAAAGCTGGTTGACTTGGAACGACAGTACCGGATGACATCGTCCAAACATAAGTCACTCTTCACGCCTGAGCACATTCACATCCGCCATTGAAGAGCTACAGTTGTGACCTGATTTGTTAGTTTTACGCCCTAACAAGGGGTCCGGAGCAGTGCTGATCGATCGGAATGATTATGAGAAGAAGATGGAAAGTGTTCTTCATGATCCCAGCAAGTTTGTACTCGAAGATGACTGTGAAGACCCTAAAGAACTAGAACAACAGATATCGACAGCAGTACAGTTTCTACTAGAAGGACACTTCATCGATGAAAGCACAGCTCACCATCTGAAGCCAAAAGGAACTCGAAGTGCACAACTGTATGGTTTATCGAAACTAAACAAACCCGGAGTGCCACTTGGACCAATACTACTACTATCTATGACAAATTCACCACAACACGAATTGGCCAAATGGCTGGAGAAATTGCTTGAGCCAGTTCATAAATCAATGGTCAGACACACTATAAAAAAGACAGTTTCGAAGTGGTAAAGCTTTTGGACCAGATCAATGTGAAAGGGAAGCACATGGCTTCATTTGATTTCCAATCACTGTTTACGAATGTTCCCGGTCGGGAGGTCATACGTATCATGTGTGATCATGTGGAGCAAAACCAACTGAAAATCGGTATACCAGTATCAGTTCTGGTACGACAATTACTACTGTGCACAACAAACGTATCGTTCTCCTTCCTTGGTTGGGCTTACAGACAAATTGACGGTGTCGCAATCCGAACTCCATTGAGCCCCATTCTGGCACATATGTTTTTGGCTCATCTTGAGGAAAAGGCGAGCAAAATCCTCGAACGTTCACAACTTTACAAACGATACGTTGATCATGTTCTAGTCATCACAATAAGTCTAGAAGAGACAACATGGATTATGGATAAACTCGATCGCCTGCATCCGAATATACGATTTACGATGGAAACAGAAATCGAAGATACACTGCACTTCCTCGACATTAAAATGACTGGGAATAATGATGGAACAATGGCCAGATCTGTTTACCGAAAAGAAACCTGGACAGGCCAATGCTTGCAATTTGACAGCTTTGTGTCTGTGGAATATGAACGTGGTCTGGTCCGAACACTATTTCAAACAGCACGACATATCTGCACAGAAGACATGATTGACAACGAACTACGACAGCTGAAAGAATCTTTGACTAGAAACGCTTATCCCGATGCGTTTATCGAAAAGCACAGCAAGCCTAAATTGATCAGACAAACGAATTGTTCAGCAGAAAAACTACTAGTCACCATTTGTCTTCCATTCATACGTGATGACATCAATTGCTTGCTCAAACGACCACTTGGATCAGCGCTTGCCCAGAACAAATATTATGCACCTGACCTCAGAATTATTCATCGAACGATTGAGATCCCCACACCCTCGGTGAAACAACGTCCACCTCTGTACACCAAATCGAATCTGATTTACCAATTTCAGTGTAGTTGCGAAGCAACCTACGTGGGTCGAACAGAGCGCCAGTTACGTAACCGAGTGATTGAATATATTCCAAATTGGGTACAACGTTTTGTGATGCAATCAGGGTCAGATCAAAGGCATAATGACAACGTTCGAAACCATAAGATCCCGTCGTCGGCTGTCGGCCGTCGGCCGTCGGCCGTCGCTCGTCATCTTCTGATGACGCAACATCCAGCTGACCGAAGCACTGCGTTTCGGGTCATTTACGTGGCAAAGAATACCAGGCTTTTGAGGTTTGTTCAAACCATTCCCATACATTCATGGAAACTTAATATTGTGTCAGCACAAACAGCTCTTTGTTCATGTGTCTTTATCATGGTGACGTAACTTGACTATTGAAATTTCCCCTATATTTGTCGAAAATTATGGTTTTACATGAACTTATATAAACAGTATGGTTGTGCAGTGTGCACCATGTTCAGATGCAGCGAAATCGTCCCGGACACGAATCGTGCAATGTTGCAACTGTGGCTTTTCTTTTCAAGATTATTTCGGGAAAAGCATGTTTAAATTTCCTCAGATCTCGTCTCCCGAAATCAACCATTAGGTCTCTCGATGACCTAGTCAGATTGAGATGTGAAATTGCCACAGCTCGAGTCCGTATTCATTTTCTGGAACAACGTGCCCGTTGCAACAGATATCCGATTACGTTTTGCAAACGCTTACGGAGGAATAAAATCTGTGCCTCTACCAGGAATTTGAGACGTTTGATGCGATATCAAATTGATGATTATAAAGAAAATCTAACGACACTTCAGACCACGTGCATCGAATGATCAATAATTCTTGACGAACCGAGCCTCGTTAGCCGAATCAAATTTACCAACTTGTGCATGGAAAACATACGAGAAGCCAAACTTTGTACATTCAACAAGCTTCAGAATTCCATCGTCCACAAGTTAGTCGAACCAAATTTTCCGAAACAACCAGAAAGGTTTGTGAAGAATTTGTCTCCGGTTGAACGAATGAACTTCAACTACAAGCTCTTTCGTGTGGTCTACGTTTCTGCATACCACCGAGTAAAATGACCAGCATAAAGACACAGGCGCAATTTGAATATCTATTCGAACAACTACAATTAGTCAAACGAACTTCAAAAGATGCGGAGACTTGGTTCAAAGCAAAGCTGGTTGACTTGGAACGACAGTACCGGATGACATCGTCCAAACATAAGTCACTCTTCACGCCTGAGCACATTCACATCCGCCATTGAAGAGCTACAGTTGTGACCTGATTTGTTAGTTTTACGCCCTAACAAGGGGTCCGGAGCAGTGCTGATCGATCGGAATGATTATGAGAAGAAGATGGAAAGTGTTTTTCATGATCCCAGCAAGTTTGTACTCGAAGATGACTGTGAAGACCCTAAAGAACTAGAACAACAGATATTGACAGCAGTACAGTTTCTACTAGAAGGACACTTCATCGATGAAAGCACAGCTCACCATCTGAAGCCAAAAGGAACTCGAAGTGCACAACTGTATGGTTTACCGAAACTAAACAAACCCGGAGTGCCACTTGGACCAATACTACTACTATCTATGACAAATTCACCACAACACGAATTGGCCAAATGGCTGGAGAAATTGCTTGAGCCAGTTCATAAATCAATGGTCAGACACACTATAAAAAAGACAGTTTCGAAGTGGTAAAGCTTTTGGACCAGATCAATGTGAAAGGGAAGCACATGGCTTCATTTGATTTCCAATCACTGTTTACGAATGTTCCCGGTCGGGAGGTCATACGTATCATGTGTGATCATGTGGAGCAAAACCAACTGAAAATCGGTATACCAGTATCAGTTCTGGTACGACAATTACTACTGTGCACAACAAACGTACAGTTCTCCTTCCTTGGTTGGGCTTACAGACAAATTGACGGTGTCGCAATCCGAACTCCATTGAGCCCCATTCTGGCACATATGTTTTTGGCTCATCTTGAGGAAAAGGCGAGCAAAATCCTCGAACGTTCACAACTTTACAAACGATACGTTGATCATGTTCTAGTCATCACAATAAGTCTAGAAGAGACAACATGGATTATGGATAAACTCGATCGCCTGCATCCGAATATACGATTTACGATGGAAACAGAAATCGAAGATACACTGCACTTCCTCGACAATAAAATCACTAGGAATAATGATGGAACAATGGCCAGATCTGTTTACCGAAAAGAAACTTGGACAGGCCAATGCTTGCAATTTGACAGCTTTGTGTTTGTGGAATATGAACGTGGTCTGGTCCGAACACTATTTCAAACAGCACGACATATATGCACAGAAGACATGATTGACAACGAACTACGACAGCTGAAAGAATCTTTGACTAGAAACGCTTATCCCGATGCGTTTATCGAAAAGCACAGCAAGCCTAAATTGATCAGACAAACGAATTGTTCAGCAGAAAAACTACTAGTCACCCTTTGTCTTCCATTCATACGTGATGACATCAATTGCTTGCTCAAACGACCACTTGGATCAGCGCTTGCCCAAAACAAATATTATGCACCTGACCTCAGAATTATTCATCGAAC